ACACCCGGGTGGTTACGGCTGTGTGCGAGGGTGACGTGGCACCCGTCATGTGATCCAAGCCGCATGTATATAAACGAACCTGAAGTGGGAACCGAAGAAGTAGCCTTCTTCTCAACTTTCCACTTCAGGTAAGTAGTACAATATCTCTCCTTTAATGATAATAACAACTTTCCACTTCAGTCTAAGTGGCCAGGGACCACTGTCCCGCATCGGGCCTGTCAGTATGCACGCCCGATCCGCCCCCCGCCAGGCTCTCGGTCCCGGACGCTACACCCGGACCCCCTCGACCCCGGATGAGTCCCTGACAATAGTTCACCTCTGTGTCAGAGACCAGATCGAGATGAAGGAAGGTCTCCATGATGGAGGGCTTCGGCCTCAGCGACTTATGCCAGGAGCGCTGTGCCAAGTAACATGTCCATGCCCTAACTTACTAACTGGCAACCAGAACTAAAAGGGGGTAAACTCTAGTCGATTTTATTACTGAGGTGTAACCTATGTACAAGTTGAGTATATATAGTTACAATGAGGATTGGCCTGTAAATGGCGGGGCTGAGCGGAGCGGAGCTAACAGAGTTAAACATTAGCCGATTGAATATTACCGACAAGTCGGGTTATGGGGTTAGTGGAATGGTAGGTGATAACCCAGAAACGGAAAGGAGGGATAGGCCCGAAGGAGGGCTTGCAGGGCAAGTGAGTGTATTGCCCAGCAGAGGCGGGAGTGTGCTAGCGGACGTCGGAGCTGTCCAGAAACCTTCGGGGCTCCGTACTTAGGGAGGCATAGGTAATATATTGAAAAGAGGGGGTGGTGACCATCGAAGAGAAGCAGAGGTGGTTGTGGAATACGGGAGCTCCGAGGTTAGTGAGGAAGGAGCGGAGGTAGTCCAGAGAGTTTGGAGGTAGTGGAAGTCGATGGCTGAGTATGGATATGACACTCTGACTTTGTCTTCACTTTAGCCTACATTGCCACCAGGTTCCCTCCACTACACCTGAAATACAGGATAGCCTAGAGCATGTGGCACAATGCTCCCACTGAGTTGTTGAAATCAACATCCCAACCCCCTGATGCCTTGCAATGGAGTAACCTATCAGCTAAGTGATCACTCACACTGCCATACTCTGCTCCACTTCCCATGAATACCCCAACACAAGTCCATAAGTTGGAGGTTTATCAGTCAGTGTTGTCACAAATAAGGTCTGTCACATGACAGTTCATAAGTGCTTGTGACATCTCATGCATTGACTCATCATACATGTTCATGGAGCATTATGAATGTCCATGATGCATCATGGGACATTATAGCATTTTACATGATGGGGAATGGTCAAAATAAACATATGACACTCCATGAACCTTCATGACCTGTCATGAAAGGTCATGAAGGTTCATGAACTCATGACCACTCATGAACCTCCATGAGGCATCATGTCACATTGTGTCACCAGCAGTCATGAACTGTCATGAAATCCAAAATTTTCAATGTAAAAAATGTCTGATTCAATTCAATTGTCATGACATGTCATGAGGGGTCATGAAATTTTGTGACATGTCATGACTCCTCATGATTTCATGATGCAGGATTACACTTTTGGAGAGTACCTCCATTCATATATACTGACTTCAATGAGTTGACAAGTGCTGTTGGTAGCTAATCCACATTGCTTGAGCTATACTATCGCGAATTCCACTTGCCCGACTGCTTTCCTGCTGAGTGATAGTACCATGTTGAAGTTCCCCAAAATCACCTGAGGTAATGTCCATACTGGCCACTCCAAAAGTGTGGATTTCATCAGCATCGTAAAATCGAATGAAGTTGTGGAGACAGCAGAGTGCAGGAAGAATTCGAGCCTGAATGGCCATTGGATATGAAGGTGCACGCTGGAGGATTGCAAAGCGCTTTTTTACAATTCCAAAATTTGCGCTCCACAACATTCCGAAGTTGAGCATGTCAAAGGTTGTACAATTCTCGATAGATGGGTAGTGGGGCCACAAAAATTGACTTACCGAGTTGACTCCACCCAAACTCTTGTAAGTGATATCTTTCTTTCCAGTAAGGAACTAGAAGTGTATCGCATGCACCAAATCCGGCATCTGCAAGATACATTTTTCCGTTTGGGATAGGCAAATCTGTCATGTGTGCATCACGGTACATTGACCCTTCCCATCCACTGAGCACATATTGGAAACGGAGATCAAATGAACATGCTGCCAGGCAGTTCTGGGAGACACCCCCTTTGCAGTTGCAGGATGCTTCACGCTCTTCTGTGGAAGGGTTGCAGGGAAGGTGTGTACCATCAATTGCGCCAATGACATCTTTGAAAAATGGATATAATTTTGGATTGGCGGAAATTTCGGGTGGAGTAGGGGTATTAGGCTTGGGTAGGCATACATATTTGAGGTAGAAGGGAGGAGACGATAATACACAAAGAACTTTCTTGAAGTAACTGAAGGGTTGTTAGCCATGCTGCACAAACAAGATTTGATAGAGACTGACATCGAAACTGTCTCAAATGAATGTTGGAACCGCTCTGCAATGAGCCTTATTGAGAGTCCGGTTACCACAGAATAGAGAAATATTGCAGTGTGCTCTTCAACGGCAAGATATTTAGAATTTGTCATGCCCATGGACCGAAATTCAGCAACCAGACTACAGAAGACATGCTTATGGACCCCAAATTGGCTGTGGAACCGACCTGGGTGTCCATTCAGCAAATCCCGAAGCCAATCTTCACCCCGATATGGTGAGTCATGGTAAGGGCGTTTGAGAATATAGCGGTGGTGGTAAATTTCAGCTGCTGAAAGAATCCATTGAGATACGATCAACCCAATAAGCAGTTGTTGATGCTTGGCACGTTCATGTCGATCTTTTGTAATGCACCTATGCATAAGCGCCATGATATGATTATAAATAATAGTATTTTTCAATACAGGAAGAAACTAGTTAAGTGGAATTCCCCAGGGGTGGGCAGTTTCTTTGAGAGCGTCAAAGAAACTGCTCAAAGAAACTGGAAGAAATGGGTTGAAGAAACCAGTTTCTTCAACCCGAACGAAGCCCTAGTATGCACGCATGCAGCATACACCCTCAGGATCCCCTGCAGGGACACCTGGGTGACCACGGCTGTATGTGAGGTGAAGTGGCGGACCTCATGTGACCCAAGCCGCATGTATATAAACATTCCTGGGGTGGGAACCGAAGAAGTAACCTTCTTCTCAACATTCCCACTTCAGTCTAAGTGGCCAGGGACCATCGTCCCACCTCCAGCCCATCAGTATGTGCACCCGCTCCACACCCTGCAAGGACTTCAGTCCCAGGTGCTACATCCGGGGTTGAGGGAGCCTGGGTGTAGCGTCCGTTGCTGAGGGCCTGGTGGGGGGTGGATCGGGTGTGTTATGGAAATGGGAATTTCCCATTTTTAGCCTCTTATGGGCTCTGTACAGTACAAAGTCACATGATACGTAAATAATAAGAACCTAACCATCTACAATCACCAAATTCCACACTCTGTTAATGTCATTGTAAAGACAACTGTTAAACAACTGTTACATTAACTGTAACACTATTTTGATGTCACGGCCACTCCCTGCACCCGGACGCTATAGAAATGGGCCAATTAGGCCCCATTTTTATAACAGGGCGTGCATACTGACAGGCCTGATGCGGGACAACGATCCCTGGCCACTTAGACTGAAGTGGAAAGATGTTATTGTTATTAAAAGAGGAGTGCTATTGTCAGGGATGTGTCCAGGGTCGAGGCGGTCCGGGAGTAGCATCCGGCGCTGAGGACCTCACAGGAGGTGGATCGGGCATGCATACTGGTGGGCCCAATGCAGGACAGCAGTCCCTGGCCACTTAGACTGAAGTGGGAATGTTGACAAGAAGGTTACTTCTTCGGTTCCCACCTCAGATGTGTTTATATACATGGGGCTTGAGTCACATGAGGTCTGCCACGTCACCCCGCATACAGCTGCAGTCACCCGGGTGTCCCCACAGGGGATCCCGAGGGTGTATGCTGCACGCACGTGTACTAGGTTGCACCCTAGAGCCATTCAGGGCATCCGGGGCTGGGCATGTCATGTGTGCATCATGGTGGGTCGATAATACATTGTCAGGAACGTGTCGGACACGTATCCGGGTGACCCGCAAGGTGCGCAAAGTCATCCAGGCTCATAAGGTCAGAGGGGTGGGACTTCAGCTTTAGCGACTTGGGTGGAGCGCTGTGCTTCGTTCTTACATTGGTGTCCCAATTTCAGACAGAAGCCTTACAATGAGGAGAAGAGACTAGAGGGGGAATCCAAGTCAATATACGAACTGAGGTACATCCAGTGTAACCTACATGCGTTATAAACACAAGTAACTAAATAGGACTGGCCTGGAAGGAGTGGTGGATCAAGCATGATATTAATGAATGAAGAAAGAGACAACCGACCACAAAAGTCATTAAACTAGGTAAACTGAAAACCGCCAAGAAGGGACAAACAACCAAAGGGACCGCAGAAAAAGGAGAGGGGTACACTCAGGTGATCAAAAAAACACCAGAGCCTCGGCTCTACCCCCACCGCACATGGGTGGGCCCTGTGCCTGCAGGCTCTCGGAGCCCCGAGAGGGTTGAGGCCCAGTGACACCTCCTGGCAGCCCAGCAAACCATGAACTAAAACCCCCCACACGAGAAAAAAGGATAAAATAAAATAAAACAAAATAAAAAACAAAAATAAAGATAAAAAATAAAAAATCAACCAATCAATCAATCAATCAACTATAAAGAACACCATAATATCAACCACACACAACTGCACAGCTACGGCATCCCCCGAGGAAAGCCCCGAGACATGACATGCAGCACAGAACCAACACCCCAAAACAAACCACACAGTAAGCCAGAATATCGATGGGAAACCAAGAAACTGACCGCCCAACACCTACAACCTAGCAGGACACAAATGTGACAGGGGAAGCTCCAACACATCCGAAAGCCTTGCCCCCCCAAGAAAGGAACCAAAGATGATGAGCGAGAATGACAGTGACACAGGCCAAAGAGTTCTAGTTAACGCGACCCCATCCCCACCAGCTACCTGGCCCCAAAACTGGGATAAGTCACCCACCACATCCCAACTTGACCCCACAGCACCCAACAAAACACCAGCAGTAACCACCACTAGAGCTACAATCACACCGACCCCCGGACCTATCTGCACCCCATACGACTCGCAAATCGACTACAATGTCCTACCACTACCACCCAACTTCACCTACAAAGTACGAGGCATGACTAGTGCCCTCCTACACACAAACGTCTCAGAAAGGGGCCAACAAGCCTGGAACAACACTGACGACCACGCTGTAATCATCGTACCACTCTACATGTCATACACCATCCCCAAAAGGCAGGAAGCCAGGACCGAAGTCGAAATCTTCATCGAACGAGCTTTCCCTGCCTCGGGACCGACCCTTGACATAATCCCAGCGGCAAGAGTGGGCAACACAAATGGCTATGAACCACACCCTTGGGGGATTATGGTGGCAGGCCTCCAAGCACAGGATGCCGCAACCCTCCTATTCCATCAATTCTGGCTCTCAAAAAAAATTAGCTTCGCTGCCTACCCCGCAACCCCCTTCACGTCGGAGTGGCTTGGAAACTGGGCCATCGTGGTGGGAGAAAAACAGAAGACAAAAGTCCTCCAGTGCCTGAAGGAAACCCTCTCCCTCCCTAACTCAGTGATAGGTCACTACCTCCTGTGCACGGTACCAGACAGCAACGAATGCCTGGAAATCGTCAACTCCGCTAGAGTAGAACCCATCAACGTGACTAGAGGAACTACGACCACCATCCACTGGATCTTCCTCGCAAAGAGCCCACACCCATCTGACACCGAAAAACACCAAAAATGGGTAAACGCAGCCGAAGCCACGGAATGTCAGGGACACGTCCGGGGTTGAGAGGGCCTGGGGGTAATGCCCAGCACTGAGGCTGTTGTGGGGTGTGGAGTGGGCGTGCGTACTGGCAGGCCCGATCCGGGACAATGGTCCCTGGCCACTCAGACTGAAGCGGAGAATGTGAGAAGAAGGTTACTTCTTCGGTTCCCACTTCAGGTACATTTATGTACATGCAGCTTGAGTCACATGATGAGTGCCACGTCATCCTTGGAGACAGCCGCAGGCATCTGGGTGTCCCCATGGGGGATCCCAAGAGCGTCCGCTGCATGCGTGCGTGCTGGGCACAGTGGGAAGCCATCCAGGGTGTGTGGGCCAGACAGGTCAATAGTACATCGATACAAAGGAAGATGGTCCGTGTAGATAGAAGGAAATAAACAGGAAGAGGAAGATGAGAAGAATGAAATAAAGAAAGGAGAAGGAAGAGGGAAAAGAAAGGGGAAGAGAGGGAGGAAGGAGGAGGGAGAGGGATGGACAGCGGGGAGCGGGTGTGGTGTGGCTGGGTGGGTCCGGGTGGACCCGGGTCAGGTGGGTGTTACAAAAATGGGGCCGGAAGCGCCCATTTTCGTCCGTTCTGGTGCAGGAATAGGGAAGGGGGTTGGACATAGGGGTTTACAGGTGGTTTCACAGATGGTTTAACATGTTGTTGAACAGGTAGTGTGGCAGCGGGTTTTTGTTGATTAATGATTTTTTCAACTCAATTACTATACAAATCATGTGACACAGAACCCATAAGAGTCTAAAATGGGAAATTCCCATTTCCATAACAGCGGGTGTGCCCTGACACGGAATGGTTCCACCTGTCCACCGGCACAGGAGACCTACGTAACCCCCCAGCCCCGTGCAAATGCTGCAAGGGTAGAGACCACACCACCCTACAGTGCCCCCTTACCACCCTCCCATGCTGGCCCGACCTATTCCCACTGAAAGCCCAGGAAAAATCGGACACAAACACGAACCTGCCAACAGCAGCTGCCCACCCTCACCCCATTGAAGGACACCACCCCAACAAAACCACCGAAAACTCATGTCGCCCCCACAGAGGACCACGCTTCACTAGAGGCAGAGGTAGAGAATTCACGTAGATGTAAATAGAATGCATGTCTACCTAAAAATTCATCCACTATCATCCGCGATGACCTGTGCCCCAAAGGGCCGGGAACTATGACCATAAACCTGGTCAAGTTTCAAACTGACCACAACCAAATGAATATACAAACTAACATAAAGACAGACCTGGCCCTGCAGAAACCCCAATCACTACCTGCAGGACATGTGGCAAAGCCGAAACCACCTGGTAGTGCTGGCCAGCATACCAGCCCAAAAAAACGAGGCCCTTCCCCACTCATGCAAGGAGGTAGGGATGTCGCAACTGCAATCCAGCCTCACCCCCGAGCCTTGGCCACGGTGGGCATGGAGGTGAGTAACATGCGAGCTGTGGCTCATAAGGAAAAAAGGAAAAACACAAAAAGAACCCATGAACCCGTAAAGAAAGCCCCAACCCCACACAACAACACCCAAGCTATACCAAAGAGACAGCCCCTAAGACTCAGAGGAGGACACACGGACCCCCTACCCAGCGGCCACCTAAAAATAGGAGCTCTGAACATAAGGAGCGAACAGCCTGAACACCAAACACAAATGGGATATCCTCCTAAATAACATGAAAAAAAATAAAATGGCCATACTATGTCTATCAGAAACCCATACAGACCCCCCCCAATGCAAAGACCTAAACGACAGATACAACAAACAATTCCACATCATCCACTCATTTGACCCAACTCATACCCACTCAAAGGGAATATCAATCATCGTGAACAAAAATATAATAAAAAAGGACCTAGCAGACACAACCGAAATAATCCCAGGCCGAGCCCTGCTAACCATGGTAGAATGGCCTGCCAACACGACCATAAACCTCCTAGCAATCTACACCCCAAACATATCGGCATCCGGACATGAGAACCGTGAATTCTGGGAAACTGTCAGGGCACATACCCTGACTTAGCCCGGACCCGGACCCGCGTCCGGACCCGCTCCACTTCCCACACACTTCCCGCGCCACACGCTCTGTGCGCCGCATGATCCGACCCCGGATCCCACCTCATGTGACTTCCGGGTATCCCCGGAAGTTTTCGCCATATTGGGGCCACTGTGGGAAAGTGAGAAGTTAACCTTCTTCTCACTTTCTTACCCACAGTAGGCAAGTGTATCTACTTGCCCTTTTGTTTATATCACTTTCTTACCCACAGTAGCTCTTTGCCTTGGGACTAGGCTGTTACAGGTTTGGCTGTGGGCCATAGAGAGAGGGGTCATGGGGACCCGGGGTCCATCCCCTGACAGAAACCCTAAGTAATAAGCTTGAAAACATGGACATAGACATACTACTGGGAGACATAAACATGGTGGAAGATGCGGCGGACCGCTACCCCCCCCACAATGATGCCCCAGCGGCCGTAGAAGCGTTCCGCAACCTGAAAATAGAAAAAGCACTAACGGAGACATGCGAACCCCCCCCCCCCCAGAAAGAAACTACACATACGGGCATGCAGGAGGAACCCACCTCTCAAGGATCGACTGAATCTATGCAAAAGACCAAATAACCAAGAGAACACTACACTGGGAAATCGAAAGCTCGGGGCTCCCAACAACGGACCACCAGATGGTCACAATGGAACTCCACGACCTAAACGCACCCAGAATTGGCCAAGGCAGATGGGCTATCCCATCTTTCCTGATAGACAACACCCAGTTCCTCAAAGAATCAGAGGCTATCAGCAGAGTGTCAGGGCATGCTGCCGCCGCCACCGCCACCTCCTTTTCCTTCTGTCTCATCCTCTCATTCTCTCTTCTTTCCTTCTTCTCTTTTTCTATCTTTATACAGACAACCTCTCTTTCTTTCCTACCCTTGTAGCACGGATGCGTCCGATGTGGAGCACCCTGTAGGGGCACCGCAACGCCGGACGCACCGTGCACTCCTACTTGTACTTCCCCTCCAACACTCGGGATCGACTGCGGAGCCACCTGCGGTAACCCGGCTTCGTCCAAGGGTGACGTGGCACCTCCATGTGACCCATTCACACATGTATATAAACTAAGCCGAAGCAGGACTGAAGAAGTAACCTTCTTCTCATTTCCCACTTCAGGCAAGTGCCCTAGTTTAGTCTGGCTTCCCACCCTAATAACAATACATTTCCCGCTTCAGCCTAAGAAGCCACACAGGGACGTAAGCCCAAGTGAGGGCCGCCCACTATACGGTCCCACCGCCCCGCTGCCGTCTGGGCTGCTAGCGCCAAGCGCTACGCTGCCACCTCTGCCTTCCTCGAGCCATCCCTGACACAGAGGGGCTCTTGAGAAGATGGAACACTCCCAACAAACCGAAGATGGAAACACCCAAGCGATCTTCCAAGGTTTCCTAGCCGACACTAAATCCCTGGCAATGAGACTGGCAAAAATCAAGTCAGGGAAAATAAACTCCTCCCTAAGAAGACTAGAGAAAAGATGCGACAAAGCCACAAGCAAGCTTGCCCAGGCAAGCCGCACCCAGACCCCCTGTTAGAGACAGGCAAATTCAGACAAATCCGGAGTGGAATCGGAGACTTAGTGTGGAGGGACCTTGGCCTCAGCGACTCAAGTGGAGCGTTGTGCCATCGCTGTTTGTCCATTTGGTCCTTAATTTCACAGTAGGCGAGCAGGAAGTCTCTAGGGGGCATTTCAGGTCGATTTCGGACTGAGCCTGCCACAAGTATGTACAAGCGCCGATATATATAATGGAGGGGGCGAAAGCACAAGGAAACGAAGGGGGACCGAATCGGAATGAAGGCGTCCGAACGGGAACAAAGGGATGACAGAAGCAGAGCGGTACCGAAGGTCATAAGGCAGAACTGTCATATCCATGCATACCCGATCCCGACCCGACTTCCGGACCTCCTCCTTCCCCACCTCCGGAGTCCTACCCTACCGCCGCCCGTTCCAATACTCACCTTCGGTCCTGGCAACACACCTCCTTCTACCTCCCATGCCACCTCTACTCCTCCTTCCCTCTCCTCCCCTATCTCTGTCTGCTCCAATACTCACCTCGGACCAAACACCACCCCTCTCGCCACCCTCCTACTACTACTCCTCCTACACCTCCGCTCCTCCCTCACAACACCTCCACCCTCCCGTCATCCTCCTACACTTCTCCCGTCCGCTCCGATACTCACCCTCGGACCTGACAACTCTCCTTCCCGCCACTCCTCCCCCCCCCCCCTTTCTCCTCTCTCTCTCCTCTGGTACTCTCCCACCGACCTCCCACCAAGTTACAACCTTCCACTGCTGTCCCGTACTTCGTACTCGGGCACCAATCGTACCTTTGCTCCGAGCCTCCGTCATAGTCCCTACCTTGGACTTTGACTCCACCTCGGTCTTAGTCCATTGCATTGGTGACCTCATACTATGTAAACACCATTGCCAATATTCCTCGGACTTTCAACCCCGCCTCCATAACCTCCGTAAGCTCCGCAACCTCTGAGCTTCGTGGATTGCCTTCGGCACTTTCACCATTTGTAATGTATCTCTCGCGTTTTCCCCTCATCCCTATTTGGACTGCTGCTTCTTCCCATTCTAGCCAGTTAGTCATCATCCCCACTTCTCCTCATCCTCCTGCCCCTCTGGGCCTTGCCCTCCCTACCTCCTTTCGGACGTATCACAGGTCCTGCCTTATGACCTTCGGTACCGCTCCGCTTCTGTCTACCCTTTGTTCCCGTTCGGACGTCTTCATTCCGATTCGGATCCCCTTTGTTTCCTTGTGCTTTTGCCCCCTCCACTATATATATTGGCGCTTGTACATACTCATTTTGGGCTCAGTCCGAAGTCGACCTGAAATGCCCCCTAGAGACTTCCTGCTCGCCTACTGTGAAATTAAGGACCAAATGGACAAACAGCAATGGCACAGCGCTCCGCTTGAGTCGCTGAGGCCAAGGTCCCTCCACACTAAGTCTCCAATTCCACTCCGGAGTCGT